TGCGACCTCGTTCGTCCATAAACGCCTGAATAAGCCGCTGACCCAGCTCACCATTGCTCAGTTCGGCGATGACCTAACACGCAAGCCTTGATTTAGATAAGTGTGTTTATTAGGAAGACTTTGTGGCTGAGCTTTATCAGCCTCTCAAGGGGTAGATCAAGGTAAGGTTTGGCTTAAAGTATAGTGTTAGGTAAAGAGTTAAGGTTGGAGTTTGGGTTATTGATAGCGTCACGTTTGCCTGCCGCATACCGTGTCATCAAATCCAACCTTCTTTAACCAACAATCTTGGACTTCCTGTTTTCCGCCCGTCTACACATCCCTGCTTCGCATATTTCATATCACGCGTCTATTTCAGCGCCTCATTGGAAAAAAATTAAAACAAGCTTATACATTCTCAGTGCCTTTCACAGACGTCGCCTTATTCGTCTGCCCTACTAATAAGACTACTCATATCACCCTTCAGGTTTCAGAAGTCCCAGTGCTCTATTTTGTCAGTGAGCTAACATATTAGCTCAGGTGAACAGGCGGCTCCTGTATTTGCCATCAGGTGTCAGGGCCTGAGAACTTAAGAACAGTGTTGTTATTGCAACAGTTTGACGAAATTCAGACTCTCGCGTTGGCGCTCTACGCCATACAGTGCATGCTGTATTACCCTGTGCCTGACTGCAGGACTGCACAGTCTAATTCCGCAGTAGCAGCCATCCTACTGTCGTTGCCTAAAGTAAACTCCTTACTCACCGTAGTTGCCACAACCACCGCCTTCCCCTAGTGTTATCCGAAAATGCGGGATAAACACTGCCCCCCACACTGTGCTGTTACAGCTATGAGTCGTCAAGATATAGGCACAATCTCGCAGGGCATTCCGGGCTTTTTTCGTTTCTGTTTAGCTGCAGGTAAACAGAGGTTCTGGCGAGAGGGTTAGTCTCTTCGACAACATTGCTTTCACCTGGTTGCCCAACTGGTCGTCACCAAAGAGGAAGCCTTTCCTAAAATGCAAGGAAAAGGCTGTTTTCTCCTATGGCGGTCCACCTCAAGGGCTTTTTGAATACTAGAAACGGAAGAGAACTGTCTGCATCTTCTAGCATGTCTTGAAAGCCTCGAGGTTTAGTCTCTTCAGTCATAGGCTGGATCATTTAACATATCTATGCGTTTTTTGGCGCAAATTTTGTATAGAAATATTTTTTTGTCGTTTTAATTTGTTTTGCCACGTATCTGCCAACGTTTTATGCCCGCCAATTTTTTGGAGTACTTTGGACTGACCTAATTATAGTAAAGGGGAATTTCTTCTACCCCGAGTATCGTCATGCATCATTGGGTCTCACCTGCGTTAAAAGACGGGGTTTAGTCCTTATTTAACGATGCCATTTAGATGACATCGTCCATGTCAGCAAGTAACATCGTTTACTGATTTATTGCTCTACGATGAAGGCGCTACTTTAAAGGTATTAATTACTTGGGCTTTAACCCTAATGGTTATGCAGCCTAATCGCATGATAGTACGCCAGTTTTTGGACAGCATTTTTTTCTCAGTCGCCTCCAAACTACACTCTGCGGAAATCGACTTATTTTGTACTTGTTACGGCTGTAAACATGCCTGATCTAGCTGGCCTCGATGATGTCACGGACGGTACCTCTCAATGCGGGACGATTGGCAGTAGCGGATCTGCAGAGCTCTACCCAGTCTCTTCTCCAGCACCGGAGACCAAATACTGAAGGTCCAAGAACCGCTTCCATGTCCTGACGGACTGAGTCGAGCCAGGTTTTGAGTTGACCCCCTCTTCGACGTTTCCATTTAGGTAACGGTTTCAAGTCGACAGCAGTAGCACTGAGCTCTTGAGGTTGACGACAAACATGTGCAAACCACCTCAGTCGTCTTTCCTGAATGGCCTACTACTTGCGTAACATGCATTCATGTCATGGATTTTCGATGCCATCATGGATACAAGTATATTTGATAGAAAACAGACACCAACCTGTTGTTGCTCGTACTCCTTTGATAGGAAATTATGTCTTCTTTATATGCCCTACCCAAAGAAAGGTTATCTCTCGGTATCTTATTATGAGGTGTTTAAGACCTTGACATGTTCATTCATGGTACTTCATATCCGTCATTTTATTAATTTTGTCAATGAACTATGCAGTATGGGCCACATATTGTATGTATATCGCATGCAGTTTCTAAAACTTGAATGCAAGCCTCTAACTATGTGGCGATTTATAAATTTTTGTTATACAAACCGAAAGATACCCCTTCTTCTGGGTTAACACTTAAAGACACAATGTTCCACCAAACAAAGAAAAGAAGGGATATCCGTGCATGCATTTATGAGGCCATCGAACATCAGTAAGAAAAATGAGTACTCTGAAGTAGGGCGTATGCCTTTTGCATCCCATTCAAAAGCCAACTTCCTGACCTCGTTGGATTATCCATTGCTTAGTCTTCATGATAACCACTAGTACAACTTTAGTTAAGTGAAAAAATATCCTAATTTCCGTTGACATTTCATGAGACATGGATTCTTTTGTAGGTCTCAAAGTGGAAGGAGTTTTAAATTGTAAATGGTTGGAAAAAAGACTTCGTTTTAACTCCTACAATGGCACCAGTAGGGATGCTCATGAATAAGGCAGGAACTCGCATGTGATTCCGTCGCATACATGCACATGACACCTACTCTTTCTCTAGGAAGCACACCAACCAAACCCTAAAATACTGACTCCTCTTTTCTTCTGCCCCTCCTCCTTTCAGCTTCACTATCCCTTTGAGAACCTGGAGCGCTTCAAGGACGGCTTTCCTGCTGACTTTATTGCTGAGGGCGTTGATCAGACCCGCGGCTGGTTCTACACCCTCCTCGTACTCTCCACGGCCCTGTTTGACAAACCGCCCTTCAAGAATCTCATCGTGAATGGCATAGTGCTCGCCTCGTACGTCCAGCTTGTTTCAACCAAAAATTACTTCGCTCATTAACCATTTCCGCACTCAGACCCCGGGTTTGTAGGACCCGAGCCAGAGCCTTCTGTACGACTGCCCGTGACCGCCCTACCATTGTACGGGAAGACTTGGCAGCCATTAGTTCAGAGTGGAGAGGTTGAGCAACCTCACTAAGGATACGATCAACAAATTGCTTGACCGTTTTAAAGTGGCGCTGTACTATATTATCAGCTGAAAGGAACAAAAGAAACACCGGCAGCTGAAGAGAGCATTCGGAGGATAGGTTTAAGAGTGACCAGCTGAAAAAATAACTGGAGAGCAGTAAATAATGAGGGGGGGAGAAAGCAGGCATCTATAAATCGCTAGATAAGGGCTTGCGGTGTGCGATATGAACGC